ATCACCCTCAGGCCGGCAAGGGGCCCCTCGGCTCTGAACCCCAAACTTGAAAAGTGACCTTCCTCTGGCCACGTCTGTCCCCGTTGGATGAGGGAAGCTATGGAATCAGGAGGCGTGCACGGCTGGAGTCTGGGACACCCCCCCCCTTTGAGAGCGCCCCTAGGTGCCTGTGAACCTGAAATTCCCAGCCTGCATATCTCCAGCCCACTTCCGGGGCCACGTGGGCCTCTTCACGGAGTCCAGATTCCCAGATTCCTGAGGGAGGATGCGGCCACCACCCGCGGAGTCCGACAATTCTAAACTTGAACCCGGCCTTCCAAGCTGTTGTAAAAATGTATTGGTCAAGGTAGAAGGATAAAACGTATTTTATCTAACGACTTGTTAGCTTTATGTATAACTTTTAAACACTTGGACATATGGTATATAGGCCTCTGTTTGTACTCTTGCCCCAGGCCCCACATATAGGGGTGTGCCTATTTAAAACAAAAAGCGCCTGGGAAGAGAGAACTATGTCATTAAGGGAAAATACGCTTCTCTGCTGTCAATTAAAAGCTTTGACTACAAACCTGGATTTCTTTTTCCTTTAAAGCTACTGGTTTATCTAGAAATTTTTCTCTAAAGCCAAGTAGCCCCCTATCAAATAATTACCTATGTCTAAAAATCACACTTTCCCCAAAAATGTTTGGTGTAACCGAATAATTATTGGCACTTATGGATTTCTTAGTTTCCAGATGAGGTGATGGTTGCTGGCTTCCTGTCCGCCTCGCGTGGCCCTGCTCTGGCCTTTGCTGGGCGCCTCCATCCCCTCCCTCTGCTTGGCCTCGGCCTCCCTCCTCCCGCTAGCCAGCTTTCTAATAAAATGAAAGTAATATAGCTTTAAGTACATAATTTAAGATTTTTTATTCAGCAGCATATGAATTGACTCATGTATCTTTCCTTCAAAAGGAAAAAAAAACTAACAATATTTTTTAAGTGACTCGGATTTTCTCCCCTTTGGGTCATATCCTTTGAGTAGGAAATATGCTCCTTTTCCCTGTATCAAATAGTGTATTGTTAAGGCTTTTGGTGTGTGATTTTTTTCCAGTGGAGGTGAGGAGGAAGGCAGGCCAGGCTTGGGCAGGGTCCTAGAGGCTGGGGGGACATGAGGAGAGTATTTATTCACACACAGCAGCTGGGAGGGAACGAAGCTGGGCGGGGAGTGCAAAACTATATTTGGGCAGGTGTGGCAGGGGTGAAGTACTAATCTGGAGAAGCCAAATCTTGTCATCGAGTCCAAGGGGCAAATTCAGAGCCAAAAATAGGAGTGAAGGCAGAGATCAGGAACTTACTCAACTCAGATACAGTGACTAAGGCAGGTATGAGGTGAAAGGGTCCAGTGCTGCAGAGGGAAACAGACTTGAGTCCCGGGATGCCCTGTTACGGGGTGAGCGAGCATGGGCTGAGCCCAGGACAGAGTTGGGAAAAGCGGACCTGAAAGCACCAGCCCCATGAAACCCAAACTCTAGTGTTCAGTGAGTACTTTTCAGATGGTGAAATCGATTTTATTAGTCAACAATATTTATGAAGAGTATATGAGAATTATTACAATATGCATATTACCAGCCAACGCAGCAGCTTTCCTGAAGAGAGGCAGAAAGGAGAAAAGGGTATGAATGTGGAGATTTAAAATTCACTAACGTTAGAGACACAGTGCTTACTCTAGACGTACTCGCTACCAAATAAATACATGATTTAACTCAGGCATTTAGAAACAAGTTTCTTATTACACACACGAAGAAAAATCTAGCATCTTTCTCTTTCTCTCTTTCTGCATCCACTCCCTTTTCTTTCTCTCTCTTTCTCTCCCCACCCTCCCCGACTTTTTAAAAAAATGATTCTGCTTTCTAGTCCCAGAGTCTAGAACTCAAAATGAAAGTAACGATGATTCAGGTCGAGTCCCACGGCCTTTACCTGTCAGAGACTGTAAAATCTCATGCCTGAGTCTGAAGCACCGGATCTGGCCGAGGAAGCCGCTCCAACCTTTGGGAGTTGGGACCAGCTACAGGAGCCACATCCACCTGTGCGCAGGTGAGCAGAGCGTGTACTTCCCGCAGCTCTCAGCCCAGCAACAGGACATCGTTGGGAGCTCACTGGAGATGCAGACAATAGACTTGGGGGGATAAAGACACTATGGCCTTCTAAACGAGACCTTATCACCAACTCTCTAAAACGGGCTGCCAACCACCCACTAGCAGCCGACGGGGGTGTATCCTCTGGGCAAATCAGTCAGGAGTCATGCTCCGTTTACCTTTAATTTTATTCCACTCTGATATCTCACTGGATTCATCTTATGTCCAGTGGTATACATTTTTAAGATCCCACGAGAAAAATAGACCCATCTCCAAGTGCCCTGTCACTGGAGTCCGAGGAGTCTCCTTGCTGAAAGACTAGAACACTGTATCATTAGAGGTGGCAACTGCAGCTAAGAACGTTAGTATCCAGAAAGATTTTATTGTTCGCTGTCGTTGTTTCTCACAGTTAAGTGATAGCTGGCGTGAGGCACCAGGCACCAGAAAAGACAAGGATCTCCTCTTACCTGGCGTATGTCCTGAAAGCAGAATCAGGAAGTACTGACTTCAAATACAAAAAGGTATGGTAAACTGACCGAGGGCCAGCTTCCTGCTCCTCCTACACGTGTTAGAGGCTGAGGACAGAATTTAGCTGAGAGCAATACCATTTCCTTCCTACTCGACACATCGGTTAGTGGGCAGCGCTCGGGACGTGAAAGGCAACCACTTCTCAGTGGAGCATCACCACTTAGTGCTGCAGAGGGAAACAGACTTGAGTCTATTAACAAAAACACTTTCCGATCATTTAGCCGCACAAGGCAATGGGATGACTATTCTATTCCGCAAGTTAAATCCAGTCTCTGCTTAGTTTTTCTAAGCGCCTATGACCTATTTCAGGTCACAAACCGTAAGTCTCCTTAACAGAGGCATTTTCATTTTTGTTGTTAAGGATGAGACCGGGGCAAATACTAATGGCTGCGGTAACGGTTTTTCTGGCGGGAGCTTGTCCCTGATTATTGCCTCTGCACTCTGGGGAATAAAGGCTCTCACAGGCTTATGAGGGGACCTTAGCTTAAATAGGAAGAGAACAATAAAGAGGATAAGGGATTTGAGCAGAAGGTGATAAGGCCGAGGAACAGATGGCTTGATGGAGAACACTGAAGAGTTAAAGATACTGATTGTCTGCTGTTTCCCATGTTCTACACAAAAGCTAGAAAAATTATTTCTTGAGCTTTTAGGGCTTTAGCCTGGATGACGTTATTTGACACAGATACTTAAGAATAAAAAATCTCAGTAAATACTAATAATTGCAGCCACTAATTCAGAGTGTGTTACATGCCAGGCACAGAAAGCGAAAGGATTGCTGATAATTTTCTCACCTAATCCTCTCAGAAACTCTTCTGTTAACCCTAAGTCTTCAACGAAGTTTTATAAAACACCACGACCTGGTCTGAGCTGAGTTACGGAAGGTGAAACACGTGATGGGCCTCGGGAAGGACTGAGATGGTCCCAGGATTCTC